AAAGGTTTAGTCTATATTACCCTCCTTAAGACTTCTTTAAGCTTTCCTGTCCTCCTTTATTTCAGAACTCTGCTCTTTTACCCAACTGCTAGACTCAGTTGTCTAATCCTGCCAAACTGAATCAGACCTATGCATTCATATCTGTATTCCTGCTCTCTATTTTTTTTTTCTTTTCTTTCCTGTAAATTGTTTACATCTTTTACTTCCTTCAAACAAATTCTAGTTTTGGATCATTTGTAAAGAATTCTAAGGACCTAAAAAGCTAGCATGTAATAAAATGTTCTTAATTATGGTGAGGAATACTGAAGATTTATTTGCATTTCTATCTGGTGCTAATGGCAAAAGAATTTCAGGCATCAGGGATAGGCCCATGTGGAAGATATTTTGGGAAAGTCCATACCACAGAGACATTTGCTTGCTTTGAAATAAATGACAGCTCTGTTCACAATCATTATTTTCTTACTTGTGGAGTTATATAGTTCAATGTAAGTACATTTAAATTTTAACTCAAATACAGTATTTTTTTTAATTCTTAAGTTATAAAAATCAAGTACTATATATAATTTTTATTATTCTCACAGTGAAGATAAAACTTAAATGTAAAAAATAAATGTCTTTTGTTTTCTTTTCCGTTTGTTGCTTTAAGTTGGTATTTTCTATGCAAAAGCTTGAAGGACCATACCCATGAAGTTGCAAGAAATTTTATAAGTTCCCTAGAAATAGGAGTTGTGAAAATGTATTTTGTATATTTCTTTGCTTTCATTTGCTGAGAAAATTCCAAAAATTATATCTTGATCTCTAGATCCTAGAGCATATAACCTACATGAAACTTGAGACTACTTTTTATAATTTTCTGAATCATTGACATGTACTGAACCATTTTGTACAGTATTCTCTTTTGATTTCATTTATATTTTATGCTAATGTGTGTTGTTTTCTTAATTCTGAAGGGTCATAGAAAGAATCATCAAGCCACTAATTTAATATGTATCTCTAGTACTATACATCTTGATGCATATATAGGTATTCATTCTCCATGCAACTATGAATTACATCAGCAGTATAGGGCATTGGTCTGTTCTATAGGCTGATATTGAGAAGCATTGCTACATGTAAGTTCTTTTGCTTCAGATAGGTAACTTTAGTGTAGGAAATATATGATTAGGTTGTTCTTGTTGTTATGTCCCATTGAGTCGTATGCAACTCATAGCGACCCTAACTAAACCTTACTCTATCCTGTGCCAATCTTGTTTCTGACACACCTACCCCCATTACCCCAGTCCCTGAATCAATCCATCTCATCAAGGGAGTTCCTCTCCTGTTCTGTCCCTCCACCCTCCCAAGCATGACGTCCCCTCCTTGCAACATGTCTAGAGTATGTCGGATGAATCTTCAGAATCCTTGCTTCCAAGGAGCAGCCTGGTCTCACCCTCTCTAGTTAGATTAATTTAAACAAGGAAACAAAAAAACTTCTAGTTGTGTACCTAGAGTGGGATTCATAGTTCTGTAAAAATTTATAGTCCAGTTTTTCTTACAGATTGTAAGTGAATATCCATTTTCTGATTTGTCTGTTATATATTAACATTTACATAATATTTGAAGCAGAACTTTCCCCATGTTTTCTCCTGTTTCTTTACACTCTTTCCTTTTTGGTCCCCCCCCCCCCATTTCATCTTATTTTCATGTGTAATTATTTTTCACAAGTGAAAAATTATTTTAAAGTATTCCTGGTTTCTACTATTTTACTTAATTGGCCCTGTTTTTATTTGACTATGGTCTCTAATTTTGAAAGAAAATGCTATTAAATAGGGAAAATTATTTCTTTCCATTATGTTTATTTTTATGCAGTTTCTCTAGTAAGTCCAAATAACATATATGTTAAACTAAAATGCAACCTCAATAATATTATTCAAACAATAACATATTATTAATTTGTTTTAAAAGGAAATCTTGGATGGAACAAACAGCTAAGCATTTGACCTCTAACCAAATGATTGATGGTTTAAATACATGCAGAGGTTCTTCTTTTTTTTTTTAAGACTCATTTTTATTGTTATCACAATGAAAAAGATTTGGCAGATTTAAACATATCTATTTTTTTATATTTTAATTTATTTATTTTTCATTTCAATGAACATCTACAGAGATTTTGGAATTCCATTCATTCATTGTTGCACCCTTCTCCCCGCCCACCCCCCCCCACCCCACTGTTTGCACCTCTCCCTGAAAAGCAAAAGAAAAACATGCAGAGGTTCTTTGAGAAACAAGCCTGATGATAATCCTTAAGAGATGGATGGGCTTTAAGCCTGGCAACATGGTTCCAATATGTCACAGCTTTGAAAATCCATGGATTCATTTTGCTTTGCGTACATGAGATCTTCATGAGTCTGAGTTGATAGCAACTAACTGCAAATTCTGTTAAGTGTTGAGGAATTGTGCTACCAATGAAAAAGGTACATGATTCAAATCCACTGCTAATCTGTGGGAGAAAGATGGGCAGTCTCATCTGTGAAGTTTACTGCCTCTAAAAATCTGCTTGAGGGTCAACTAGTAGTCGGTTTTGACTTGATGGTACACAACAACTAAAAATTAATATGACAAGGAATATGGTATGAATGTTTTATTTCTTATCATTTTAGGTCATGTATGTTCTCAAGAAGTGGTAAAATAAAATTTGAAGTATAGTATTTAAAACATTTTGGGTGTAGCGTTATGGTGAACTTTTATTTTCTTACTGCTTTTTGTAATTTCAGTAGCTTTCTATGCATATTCTATATTTCAGAATGGTAAAGTACACAAAGTTTTAAAACCATTTTTTTCATTTAATTCCTTAAAACTAATAGCTTTTGAAACTCTTAGTACATAATAAAATTTAAATAGTAGAAAACATGTTGAGCTTAAAGCACAAGTATTCAACAGTAACTTTCAGGAACTATTAAAACAATGATTGATTTCCTTTTCCATTATACACCAAATGATAATCACAGATAGATTGGATTTTGCTGGTTTAATATTTCTAGAGGGATTCCTGGATAGTGCATACTGTTAATGCGCTTGATTGCGAACCAAAAGATTGGAAGTCTACTCAGACACTTTAAGAGACAAACATAGCATTTTATATCTGCAAAATCAACCATTGACCACCCACTAGAGCATAGTTTTAACTCTGACACATGGAGTCCCCCAGGAGTCAATGGGTTTGAAAGCAACTGGTTTAATATTTCTAGAGAATCTTTGAGTATTTTTTTCTCTGACAAGTATCTGCCTCACATAGGTTCCAGATTTTGTGTATTTTAAATTGGGATCTATGTTCACAAGACTTTCAGGAAATGAAAAATAGCCTTGATTTATCTGTTCTGTGGTGGGTTGTTGGTTTTGTGTTTTTTTAAACTCAGGTAGATTTCTTCCAAAATGTTAGATTTAGTTCTAAGTTTCCAACTTCATGTAGAAAAACAAAAATCTGTATTCTAATTAGAAATATGAAGTTATTTGTTTTACCTGGAAATCATGTGATTCTACACATAATAGAAAAAGTAGTATATATTGAAATTATGAAATGGTAAATTTAGAATTTGGTTCACTGTTGTGTACCACTGCCAACTTTTACAGTGACTCAGATGTAGTCTTTATTATATGTCAGAAATTTCTTTAAATGGTTAGATAAAATCTGATTTTTTTCTTTACCAAATGTATTTTTTCCGAAAAAATAGTAGCAATAAGCAGAATTTTAAAACTTAATTGTTTTCGTTGTATAATATTTATGTAATGATAGTTTTCTGTAGATTTATACATTCTTTAGTGTGCTTTGTTATTTTTGGATGCCATAAAAATCTACCTAATTTCTACCTTGAATAAAACAGTAAAAAACTACTACTTGGTCCTACCATCAAGAGACTGTCCTTGAGACTGTCCTCAGTTTCTGCTGTGCTTAAGTCCATTGTTGTAGTTTCTGTTGTCAGTCCATTTCATTGAGAGTCTTCCTCTCTTTTGATGATCCTCCACCTTTGCAAGCTTGATGTTCTTTTCCAGAGACTGTCCTCTCCTAGTAACATACTCAATATATGTGAGATGAAATTTTATCATTCTTGCTTATCAAGAACACTCTGGCTGTACTTCCTCCAAGACAGAGTTGCCTTCTGACATTCCAAGGTATATTGTCTTTCTTTGCCAACACACAGTTAAAAGACAACAATTTTTCTTTGGCTTTCCTTATTCATTGTACAGCTTTTGTATACATATGGAGCAATTGGAAATACCATGGTTTGGGTGAGGAACAGTTTAGTCTTTAGACTGATATTCTTGGTTTTCAGAACTTTAAAGAGGTCCTTGGCAGCAGATTTGCCCAATTCAGTACATGTTTTTATTTCTTCACTGCTTCTTTCATGGTGTTGATTGTGAATCCAGGTAAAATGAAATGTGGCCATGGAATGTTTCAGTTAAAGCCATTAATAAATAAATAAATGCACACACATACACCATTAATATGTCAGTAAAGTTATTTTACTCTATGATCAACATATATTGCATTCTTTTGTAGTTCAAATGGCCCCTTTTATCATGTAAATTTTATGGTTTAATAGTGATCAATCTAAGATTCTTTGTATGTGTGTTTAATTAAAAGTGGCAAGATTATTTGCCTACTTTTGAAATAAACATATGAACTTGTAAAAAAAAAAAGAACTCTTAGACACTTCAGTTTTTTCTTCATTTATCATGATATTGCTTAATGGTCCAGTTGTGAGGATTTTTATATTTTTTATACTAAAGCATAATCTATATTGAAAGAGTTTAGTTTAAGGTCTTCTTCACTCTCAACAAGCAATTTTATCCTCTGCATAATGCAGATGAGACTTTTTCCTATGCTACATTGTTCATATATTCTAGCTTCTCATATTATTTGCTCAGAAAAGGTAAGTATGACAAAAGGAAACAACCTTTTATATCTTTTTTTTTTTTGTGAGCAATGTGGGTCTTTAATGATTTCAAGCAGAGAAAGCGCAGCCTCCAGCCTCCTCCTAGAGCCCAGTGCACCTCCACCTGGAAGTGGGGAGACAGGACGTGCACCCCCAAAGCCACTGCCCACCTGGGTAGCAGAAGGGACCGTGGTGGTTGTGAGGTTTGAGGACAATCTTCAGTGGAACACCAGTTGACACAGGTCCACAGAGACTGGAGTAACCTGCCCCAAGGGAACCAAGGGTCACCTTGGGGGGGTGTCAGAAGCAGTAGGAGGTGTGGGTGACCCAGGGACCGAGGGGCTTCTTGGGGAGGGGACTCAAACAGTAGGAGGTGTGGGTGACCCAGTGGGCCGACTCCTCCTTGGAGCGCTTGGCAGAGCTGTGGGTGGTGAAGAGCGACTTGTAGGCCTCAAGACTCCTCCTCGCTGTCGGCGATAGATCTCTTGGTGGATTTCCCGGGAATGATCCCACTGGTGGCTGTGCTCTTGGGCGCCGAGCTGCCTATCTTCTCTCGAGAGTCAAGGCTGGGTTCCCCGGGCTTTCTCGTCTTAACGTCAGACGGCCCCGCGGGTTCTTCGGGAACATCAGACTTTGAGGCTGTTTCTGTCGCTTTGGGTTTCTTTGTTTTCTTGCTCAGCTTGGCTTTCTGTCTTATCTCCTCCATCCGCGTCTTCAGCCGTTCCACGTCTTCCTTGGTGCCATTGAGCACGATGACATCATCTTCCTGGAAGGCAGCCCCACACGTGTGGCAGACTTCCGCTTTTATCTCCTTCAGGGCCCGTTCAGAGAAAACACAGCCACAGCCCCGCAGGAAGCAAAACCTGTGCCGCCCGTTCATCTCCAGGCCCACGACCGGGCAGATGAAGCGCGCCTGCCGGAGGTCATCGTGTTTGTCACCTTTGGTGTTTCCTTTGTCCCCTTCCCAGGCGGGATTATCAGAAAGCTTTAGTTCCGTCACATTCTTCATGCTTTTAATGTGAGACGCTGCCTTCACAAGGGCCTTGTCGGAAGACTTGTCCAGCAGAAAATCAATGACGGCATCTTTGTTATAGAGCCTGCCAAGCTCACAGGCAACTATCGGCCGCCTCAATATTTCCTGACTTAGAGTGCAGTAGTTCCACTGGGCCACTAACTCTGCATCTTTGTCAACCTTCTCAACCTTCTTGAGCCCTTTCACCGGTTCGTGCCTCTTGGGAATAGTTCCTCCGTCGCAACCCATCGTAAGCTGGCACTCGGAGCAGCCACCAACCCGCTACTGCCGGCACTTCCGCGGTCAACGCCGACGAGAGACCTTTTATATCTTTAATACGCATCTTTCCTGATTTTAAGCCTTGCAGTATTTCCCCTTGTTTTCTTTGAATGACTCCCTCCTTGTCTACGTCGAGGTTCCACAATTAGGAACACAATTAGGTGTATAGACTTCCCATTCTCCTCAGTATTATCCATAATTTATTTTGATCCAAATAGATGAGCACTTTTGTAAACACAAGTAAACATCTTTCTGATACTCTATGCTTTTAGCAGAGATCCATCAGACATCGTCAGTGATATTCCTTGTTCCATGACATCTTCTAAATCCAGTTTTAATTTCTAGTATTTCCTTGTGGATACACTGCTCCAGCCATATTTTAATTCTTTTCAGAAATAATTGTACTTGCATATAATATTAATAATGTTGTTGTTAATTGCCTTCAAGTTGAGCACAATTCATAGTGACCACATAATCAAAAGACCTAAAGCCCCTCGACAACCATCAACATTTATCAAAGTTCATAGAGTGTCCGGGTAGTAATATTATTATCCTAAATTTTCCATATTTTATTGAATCATTTCATTTTTAAAAAAATCTCAGTGATCTACTCTTTTATTGTTGATGAGAAAACTCCCTTAAGAATAAAAATGCTTTCTTACAAAGCATAGTGTAAGATGTGATATTGCTTTGTTTTTCATAAAGAGTAAATATAAATGTGTAAATATTCAGATAATTTTATAGTAGTGTACTATTCTGGTCACCTATTTGTTTCTTACTTGATCATATTTTTTTAAGTTTTATTAATTTTAATGAACATTTACAGAGATTTTGCATTTCCATTCACTCATTGTTGTACTTTTCTCCCTGCCCAGCCCTCCCCCCTAGTTCACTCCTCTCTTTGAAAAGTAAAAGAAAAATTCTTTCATTGGTATACAATCCCCCTGCACCCAGGGCACCATCTCCCACCACCCCAAGTAAACTCCACTATGCAACCTTAATTCTGGACTCTTGTGATAGCCATAATACCCTATCAGGTTCGCTTTTAAATTGTTCTCTCCCTCATCTGTTTCAATGCAGTATATATAATTTATCTCATTCTTCTCAGTCTTACACTAACCCTGATGTCAGTCCCATTCTACAACCGTGGCACCATGCAGTATTTGTCCTTTTGTGATGGAGGTACTTAACTCAGCATAATGTCCTCCAGGCTCACCCATTTTTAAAATATTGAATGAGTTCCTTGTTTTTCAATGCAGCATAGTATTCCATTGTGTGAATATACCACAGCTTCTCTATCCATTCGTTTGTTGATGGGCACTTGGATTGTTTCCAACTCCTTGCTATTGTGAACAAAGCTGCAATAAACATGGGTGTGCATATTATCTGCTTTATGGTGATTATGGTTTCTTTAGGGTATATTCCCAGTAATGGAATTGCTGGGTCAAATGGTATCTCTATTTGCAACTTTTTGAGAAAGCACCACACCATTTTCCACAGTGGTTGCACCATTTTACACTCCCACCAACAGTGAATAAGGGTTCCAGTTTCTCCACAACCTCGCCAGCATTTGTTGCTTGCTGTTCTTGCTATTCTTACTGGGGTGAGATGATATCTCATAGTTGTTTTGATTTGCATCTCTCTTAGAGCTAGTGATTTTGAACATTTCTTTATGTGTTCGTTGGCTATCTGAATGTCTTCCTTGGTGAAGTGTCTGTTCATATCCTGTGTCCATTTTTTTAGTGGATTATTTACCTTTATCTTGTTGTGGTGAGAATCATTTCATTTTTTTAATGGACACAGAGATAGTTCTCTTTCATTCAGTTGACCAAGTAGCTGTGTTCCAAATTTCTTGCGTAGTCTCTAAAGGTGTGTTATTTGAAGCACCTCACTTGGTAGTACATCAATTCCTGGGACTTTGTTTTTTCAAGTGTCTTCAGTGCATCCTGGACTTAATACTTCGGTAATATTGTTAATCTCACCTGATTCAGGTGTAGAGCTCTCTGGTCTTTTTTATTTCATTATCAGTCAGTACCATTTGTTCTCTTTCAAGAAAATTATTGTACACTTTCAATTTTTAAGTCAGAAAAATATCTGTAATTTTACTTAAATCAGACTGGGGGGGAACACTTCTGTGAAATTAACTTTTTATTTTGATTTGTGTGAAAATTTACAGAGTAAATTGATAATTCCATTTAACAGTTCATACCCATTAATGACATTAAATTACTGTCTCTATAACAACAACATTTCATATACTTCAACTCTTCTCATTTCTGTATATCCTTCTTTTCTATCTCTTCTTGTCTTATGAGCTTTACTTCTCTCTAGGTGAATTTCATTTTTTAATTTCAAGTGGTTGATTATTCTGAAAAGTTCATTCCTCTTCATGTTATTGATCATCTGTGCTCATTATTTGACTGAAAGTTAAGTCACCAGGTTAATTTCAGTTCTAGACTTGAAGGATGATTAAGCAGTCAGAGTAAGGGAGCACAACATAGTTTAAAATGAAAAACGATGTACATCAAGATTGTATCCTTTCTTCATTGTATTCAGTCTATGTATTGAACAAATTATTGGAGAAGCTAGAATCTATGCAGATGAATGTGGTATCAGGATTGGAGGAATATTCGTCTGTAACCTACGTTGTGCAGATGATACCTTGCTTGCTGAAAGTCAGGAGGACTTGAAACACTTGCTGCAGAAGATCAGAGAATTTAGCCTTTAAAATTAATTGCATCTCAACATCAGGAAAACAAAAATTCTACCACTAGATCGATAGGCAACATCATTATAGAGGGAGAAAGGTTAAAACTCTGAAAGACTTCATATTAATTGGATCCATAATCAACACCCTTGGTACCAGCAGTCAGGAGATGTATTGCACTTGGAAAATATGCAACCAGGCATCTTTCCAAATTATTGGGGAGCAGTAATGTCACTTTGAAGACTAAGTTACGCCTTATTCAGGCAGAGTCTTTTCAGTCACTTACTATGCATCAGAGTTGGACGTGTCTAAGGATGACAGAAAAATATGATATCTTTGAACTCTAGTGTTGGAGAAAAGTGCTGAATATCTCATGGACTGCCAAAAAAAGACTTGTTTCTTGGAGAAGGTGCAGCCAGTGTGTTTCAAAAGTTTATACAACTTTGTCTCCTATACTTTGAGCATGTTTCTCAGAGAAGCTCTTCTTTGGAGAGTTAATGAAAGAGAGGAAGACCCTCAACAAGATGGATTGACACAGTAACAGCAGCAGTTGGGCTTATGTTAGAGATTGTAAGGATGGCGTAGGATACGATAGAGTTCAGATCTTTTGTTTATAGGATCACCATGAGTTGGGCTAAACACGAGATACCTAATAACAAGCTTCATAGGTATTTGACTAAGCAGTCCAGAAATGCTGGTGTTTTTGTTACGATTTTGAGTTCTACATTTTCCTCCCAGTCTGTCAAGGATAGTCTTGTGATTCATTTCAGATTACTTTTGAAATATATTTTTATTTACATATAAGTAATTTTCACATTTTTAATTAAGCCATATGTTTATTTCATTCTATTTTGGTTTTAAGAAAAACTTTCTAGTTGTTTGGATATTTTCTTTATGTTTTATCTTTATTATGTATATTAGATGGAAGATTATACTCCAAAGCATATCATCCAGATGACAGGATTTAAGATGGAAGAGAAGGAAGCTTTGGGCAAATTGCTTTTAAAACTAGATTGCACTTTTATTAAGAGTGAGGTAAGTACAGAAACTTAGCAAAATGTTCAAGTATAGCTGAAAAAGAATATTAAATAATGACTCCACCACCAAATGTAAGAATAAATTATGTCGTAAAGAAGTATTAAGTTAGTAACATTTCTTTCTGTGCATTCTTTCCCCCTCTAGAAATACAAAAATTGTACACATCTTATAGCTGAGCGTGTATGTAAGAGTGAAAAATTTTTAGCAGCTTGTGCAGCAGGTAAGTTTACTGTCCTTCCCTGAAAATATAACTGCTTTGTACTAAAAAAATTAATCATAGTTAAAAAATACCTTAGTGAGTTTAGATTCTAAAAAGATAATGTTTTATCATTACTACAAAAGCACATATTTTTTAAATTTTTCTGAAGATATTTTATGATAAAGTTTTTATTTTCTGAGTGAAACTTTGTCATTTAAAAATACATAAAAGTAGGTATCTTTAAGAAATATTTACTACACCAAAGATTTCATGTCTTTCAGTAGTATATAGAATGAAAAAAAAATTCCTTTAGTAAAAGGATTTGGCAAACAATGCCCAAAGCATAGCTTTTGTAGAAGTCCTAGCTATTCTTAGAATTGCTCATGATTTTTCATTGAGCAACAACTTTAGTTTTTGTTTTTTCAATTATCTTTTCCCTAATAAATCTCATCTCTTTCATGTTATGAAGTAGTAATCATCTAATTTTATTTTTCTAAGATACTAAATCTCGTAATCCTTATTACATCAAAATTTCCTGCCTTCATTTGTCACCATTGATATTCCTTCTTTGGTTCACTGTTGTGATTGCTCTTGAATGTCACTCTATTTATGTCCACTGATAATAAAAATGAACAAAAACACATTTAAGTCAGGTGAATTTACTTGTTTTAGAGTAATTTAATAGAAAAATATTCGTTATTATCCCAGAAATTAATGTATGTGCTCTCCCTTGCTGTTAAAAAAAAAAAAAAATAACAGTGTCCTAGTAAACTACAAAATGGACTTAACCTGTGAAATTCTCTGATCTAATAATTCTGTTTTTCAAAGTGGAGCAATACTATAATCATGATTGAAAAAGTTCATTAACAAAGTGGGAAGAATATCCATTAAGCCCAAAACTGAAGGATAAAACAGTAAAAGTTCAAATAACTAAATTTTATATTAAAGAATCAGTGTTGAAAATATAACCTCATGCTGAGAAAGGTTGGATTTTATTTGATATTTGGTCTTATTGTTTACCACTTATCAAGATCAGTATTCTTTTGTAATGACAGTTCATTTGCTTTCCAGGAAAGTGGGTACTAACTAAGGACTACATAATTCATAGTGCCAAATGTGGCAGATGGCTTGATGAAACAACTTACGAATGGGGATATAAAATTGAAAAAGATTCCCATTATTCACCTCAAATGCAATCTGCACCTAAAAGATGGCGTGAAGAATTGAAACGCACTGGTGCTCCAGGAGCCTTCCACAGATGGAATGTTGTCCTCCTAGTTAGAGCTGATAAACGAAGTGATTCACTTGTAAGGTAAGATGAGATCTCGTTTTTAAAAAATGAAGTAATGAATGAGAAAACAGTTTTTATTTGCGTGAATGTCTTTTTCATTTCTTTGCTATTACTAATGTCCAAATGAACCATTGTTACTTTTTCATTGATCACTTACCTGAGTTCATTTCAGTATATGTGTCACTTGATAGACTGAAATCTTTTTTTTAGTGTTGTTTTAGATTCGTCTAGTGAACTCTCTTTGCTTCCCTTGTTATTATTAGTTTCATTGATAATACTGAGCAGTACTCAGATATACCAGTTTGTTTATTAATTTATACCTTCTGATAGACAACTGGAATGTTAACCATTTATACTTGTATGAATTACGTTGCTATGAAAATTTATATTTTCATATGCTTATTTTTCTTTTTTCCTTCTGTTATGTAGGGATAAAGTTGCTGTCTCACCTGACAAGTATATATTTAATGTAAAATGCTGAACTGTTTTCCAAAGAATTGAACCTTTTTACATTTTCACTAGCCTTCTGTAAGGGTTCCAGTTACTCTGAGTTACTGAGGCATTATTGTGTTAAGTGAATTGATTTTGTATGTGGGGTGAATGCTAACTTCCTGTTCTGTTCCCCTTATCTACATGTACTTGTTTACCTGTTTTGGTTGCTGTAGCTTTATAATGAGTCTTGAAATTGTGTATCCTTTATCTTTCTAATCTTCTGTATTGTTTTAGTTATTCTGAACTCGGTATATTTTCATATACAGTTTAAAATCAGTTTGTGCAGAAAAGCATGTTGTACTTTTATTGGAGCTCTGATCAGTTAATTCTATCTCTATTTAAATCTTTAATTTTTCTTATTTATAGTCTTCATATCTTATATACATTATTTTGTTAAATTTATTGTTAGATATATTTCAAGATGCTTTTTAAATGTGTCTGAAGGTTATTAATCTTCATCTATTGTGATAATTTGGTTTTTTAATTTCTTATTCTCTTAATATGGCTGATTATATTGATTCAGGTTTAAATATTACAATAAATTTACTTTCCTTAGAAAAACTCCACTTAATCATAGTATATTATCCCTTTCTAATATATTGCTGAGTTCTGTTTGGATATATATTGTCAAGGATTTTTTTTAAGTGCATCATCAAAGACAGTCTAAACCTTGGAGAGATCGTGACAGTGAGCAGGGTTGGGCAAGATTCTGATCTGTTGCTCGTAGAATCATTGTGAGTCAGTTGACTCAGTGGCCTAACAGCCACACTATCTTCATGATACAGATTTTCTCCATCAACGATGACTAGTTATTAACTGTAGATCTCTTATAATCAAGTACTATTACTAGTTGCTATTTAGTCTATTCTAATTCTTGGAAAATCCCATGTGTTACATAGTAGATGGCTGAATATGATTTTTTGACGAGTCTTTATGGAAGCAGGAAGCTTGGTAGCCCAGTAGTTAAGGACTTGCACTACCAGTTGCTCTTGAAAAAAGTTTGTCTCTCTCCTCCCATGTGATTTGTAGCTACTGAAAACCTGCTAGAGGGTCAGCTGTGAGTCAGTTCCAATTTTATAGCAATAAATTGTCCTATTTTATTGAAGCAGATTGCAGGCTTTTCATTAAGGGTGTCACTGGGTAGATTTGAACTGCTAATGTTTATGTTAGAATTTCAGTGCAAACTCTTTCTTCCACTGAAAAGTTAGCCGGTGCAATAAGACAAAGAAAAGAAATAAAAGTTACAGAATTGAAAAGTCGTGAACATATACTAAAATTTTCTCAATTGCAAATATTTCAAGCACTAACAAATGAATTTAGCAAGACCACAATATAACAAATTGTATTTCTGTGTAATAATGATGAATTTGGAATTGGAATTTTAAAAGCAATGCAATTTGTTTCATAAGTTTCTTCTGTTCATTTGTTTAATGGATTTCTGTACATGGTTTTATTCTTTTCTTCTTGGGGCTTAATTAGTTTTCTTTTTCTAGCTCCTTAAAATTAAACCATTTAAGAAAAGAAAAAATAAGCCACTGTTATCTAATGTCACTTCCTCCTAAGCACCACTTTATAAGTTACTACAATTTTGGATTAACTTGTTGTGCATCAGGGTGTTGGACAATGACCAAGGAGGATAAAAGGAGAATTGATGCCTTTGAGCTGTGGTGCTAGAGGAGTATTGAGAGTACCATGGACTGCTAGGAAAACAGATTCATCCTGGAAAGGTTTAAACCGGGTGGCTCCTTGGAGGCAAGGATTCTGAGGCTCCGTCTAACATACTTTGGACATGTTGTGAGGAGAGACCGGTCCTTAGAGAAGGACATCATGCTTGGGAGGGTGGAGGGACAGCTCAGGAGGGGAAGGCCCTCTATGAGGTGGATTGATTGATTCAGTGACTGGGGTAATCAGGATGGGTGTGTCAGAGACAGTGCAATTGGCACAGGACAGCAGAGTTTAGGGCTGTTGTACATAGGGTGGCTATGAGTCGCAAGTGACTCGACGGCACATAACAACAACAACATTTGACTCAGTTCACAGTATTATTTTTTTTTTTTTTAGTTCAGAGTATTTTTTACATTTTCTTTTTTATTTCTTTGTCTTATTTTACATACAGATTTGTCAGAGAATTATGAAATAGTTGGAGATTTTCTGAATATCTTTTTGCTGTTGATTTCTCCTTTAACTATATGTGGTTAAAGAGCATAACGTTTTTGTCATTATAATCTGTTTAAATTTGTTAAGATATTTTTTCTGGATGAGAATATTGTCTAATGAGTGCTTCATGTGTCTTTAAAGAAAACAACTGTACTCTACTGTTGTTGGGCTAGCTGTTCCATGTGAAGTACTTTCAATGGCTTGATAATATATTTTGGTCTTATATAAACATTGATTTTCTATATGCTTGTTCCACACATTACTGATAATGGAATTTTCCATTTTGTCACTGCAAAAGCTTTTTGCTTATCTATCCTTTCAATTTTGTTTTCCCTGAAAATCATGTGCTTAAATTCATGATTTTCTCAATTACTTGTTAAATGTTTACTGTATTTTCTTGTGCTTTCTAAATCCTAAGCCTAAGTAGAACTTCATGAAACTTTTGACATGTATATTTATTTGTATATATACTGAATTAAATGTAAAATATTTTTCTTACAGTAGATCACAATTAAACTTTTTTGAAAGCAAATTTCTTAGAGTTGCCAACTGCTTCCATTCTTGTGGTCTAAAATGCTCCAATTGGAGTTAAATTAGGTTGTCTTTCAAGGTAATTTAAATATTGAAATAATTTTTTAGTAGCTAAAATAACTTAAAAGTTCATATTTCCTTCAGAAAATCTGCCTATATACTTGATGTCTAATTTTCTAAGGCTGTTGTAATGAAATACCAGAGTAGGTGACTTTAAAGACTAGAATTCAGTTGTCTCTAGTTTGGGAAGCTAGAAGTCCATTATCAGGGCGTCAGCTCTAGGAAATGGTCCCTTCTTATCAGTAGCCCTGAATACTCCTTGGAATTCTTTGACTTGTCCAGTGATTTCTTACATTACCTTTATATATGTCTATCATTGTCTGTCTTCTTCCCTCTTGTAGAAGATATTAGGTTTAGAACCCATCCTCCACTGTGAAGACCTTATTAGTATATACAGAAGAAAAAAAATCTTCCAAATGGATTGTTACTTAACTGAGGTTAAGATTTCAGCATAACTTTATCAGAGATGTAATTCAATCTCTAATACTTGAGAAATAATTAATTCTGGTTATTTGACATATATATATTTTTTATTCAGAGTCCTGGAGGCTGGAAAGGCAAATGTTCTTTTATCAAAGAGTTTACAAAGTGGGATAACTCATGTGATTGCCAGTAATGCAAGAATCAAGGCTGAGAAAGAAAAAGATAACTTTCAAGCTCCATTTTATCCAATTCAGTACCTAGGAGATTTTCTCTTAGAAGTAAGTAAAATAAATAGTATTTTTAAATATTTATAAAATATATGAGGTGAATTGATTCAGTGACTGGGGTAATTAGGTGTGTCGGAGACAGACTGGCACAAGATAGAGCAGGGTTTAGGGCTGTTGTATGAGTCGTAGTCAACTCGATGGCACATAACAACCAAAAGTAAATATATATATTGTAGCTGATGTTAGATGGATCTTGGCTGAAAGCAGGGAATACCAGAAGATGTCTATCTGTGTTTCATTGACTGTGCAAATGTATTTGACTGTGTAGATCATAACAAACTGTGGCTGACTCTGAGAAGAATGGGAATCCCAGAACACTTGATCGTTCTAATACGAAACTTATACTTGGACCAGGAGGCAGTCGTCAGAACAGAGCAAGGGAACACTGCATGGTTCAAAACTGGGAAGGGGGTACGCCAGGGAT